CAGGCTTTCACGACCAATATTATTCTTAATCGAGGTTTTCAGGTCTTTGCCTGGATTCCGTCGTTTTGTCTGTTTTGGACTGTCGATATTAACTATTAAACCAATTTTTTTATTTGACCAAGTAAGGCCCACTGAGCTATATATCTCTTTTTCAGAAGCAACCTGGTCACAAATGATAGCTCAACTAAGTGGCTTATCATGTGGAAATGTACAGCAGCCAAACACCCTAAATGCGTGATGTTGATTCTAAATGTGGAGGAAAAAAACGAAAGGACCCTGAGAAAAATCCACGCGACCACGGGGAGAGAGGGAGAGACACGCAAACTCCAAATATACAGCAGCAGGCGTCAGGATTGGGATCGAACCCACGACCTGCTGCATACCAGGCGAGGTAGTCAACATCCACCGTGGCAGTTCACATCATGGCCTTCGCTTTTGTGGTGAGACTTCGAAACGCGCACCGCTTGCATCCGCGTTTTTGTCTAGCCAGGCACGCATTACACTGCACTTTGGGGCTAAAATAACACAGACGCACATGATGATCATCATCATCGACTCCTCTTCTGTGCGGGAGGCAACTGGATGGCTCCGAGTTCCGAGTGCTGAGCTGGCACCGCTGACGGCCTTAGTTTCAAATACGCCGATAGTTAAATCGGGTTCCCAGGTGCGATGAGTTGATGGTTTCAGCCCGGACACCGATTCACGCACAAGACAAAAAAATGGGCCACGTGAACAGATTTCAGAAGCACTTCAATATTGTCTCTTTCGGCAGGACCAGTGTCTAACAGGGGGTGCGGGAAGTGACGGGGTGCTATGAGAGAGCTGAGCTTTTGTTAACACCGGATGATGATGATGATGAATATCATCCATAGCAAAACGGAAAACGCAAATTGTCAAAGTTTTTGCTTGCTTTTCATGTTCCGGTTTTGCTAATATACCAAATAAATTGGCATATTCGACGTGAACTTGATTTGATTGACTCTGTCTGGTGGTGGACGCTTAACAATTGGCATTATACCCACACGACGATCTGACCCATAATAAAGCAATCACAAATAATAGCAAAGAGTAACGTGACATTTTTTTTTAATTTGCTGGCGATGTTTCGCACGAAATTTAAGTAAACTCTCAGAAAAAAATACGTTCGAACAATACGTTGCAAGGTAAAGCTGTTGTTGACACGGCTAAAAAAAGGGCTGGCCCTTAAGATAAGACATTTATAAATGGAAAGCAATGCTGAGAAGACGAATCAATAGGATTTGACCGGTGCTAAATATAGAACAAAGGTTAAGTGAGAGGGCAATGAAAGACGACACTTGTAACTGCTGCAATGCTTGTTTTTCTCCTGGTAGGAACCTCCGGGTTACACCAGCCTACAGGGGATTATTGTGTCCGTCCGTCGTGCATCAAAAAATGGGAGGGTTGGGGCTGGGTGGAGAGGGGAGGGTGGGGAGGGGCTGGGTGGGGAGGGGCTGGTCACCCCATGGTGCCCTTATAAAACTCAACGTTTAACCTACTCACGCCGGCTTGTGCCCGCCCTCACAGTCGGCCATATTTGCGGAATACACCACGCCGCCGTTGACCCTGGCCATTGACCGAGCAACCCAACGTTCCTACCAGCATTGAAATAACACATTCCGCAGGAATGTGTTATTTCAATGGCTCCAGAGTGAGGATGATGTCTTGTCGATAGGTTTGGTGAATTTTATTTATACAAAAGTTTAATATCCATAATAGACATTTTTTGGTTAGATCCCTTAAATAAAAATGTGCCGTTAAACTCGCCACCACCCGACACAGTCAACTAGTCAGGTTTGTCACTGAAACAAAACGTGGCCAATTCGTTTCTAATTCAGCACACCGGTGTGTTGGAGAGAAACCCCACAACATTTACAATTCGAGCACGACGTTTCGCCGGTAATTACAACCTGCATCATCAGGCGACAGCCAGAGTTGTGGAGAAATCCTCCTCTTTCGGAATTAAATAGAGGGGTAGATCTTAATTTTAGAACTTTCGTGACTGCAGGAATTATTATTTGGTTCTTTCGGTTAAGTCACGTCTAAAGATAAAATAATAAATTAAATTAAATAATAGAATACGACGTTTCGATTGCAACACAAGCAATCGTCATCAGGTATAATGAAATAGCGACATAAAATCTAACCAGAAAACTATAGACAGACATATTAGCAGACAGATATCACCAAGATACATAGAGAGAGCAACACAGGTAACAGAGAGAGGTGATCGTCTCTGTGGGGTGGCCTTAAATAGACAGAGGGGGGCGGAGGCAGAGAGAGGGAGGGGGGGTTAGAGAAAAAATTAGCATATCAATGAGTGAACAACAAAAACGTGGTGCTGCAAGTGCGATGACACGGCAAGCAAGCCTGAAAATCAGGAGAAGGACACACTAAAATTAAATAACCTAGTAAAATATCGAAATGTAATGTAATACAACACAGAGGGTCGGTCAACACACAATTAACGCAGGGGTTCGCTTTGACCCCTTACATTAGGAATATAATGAATTTAGTTTTAATCTGAATTGTAAACTACTTTAAAAAAATTAATAAAGGTGTACATTTGGGGAGGGGGGTTTCACCTCCGTGCCGCCCCCCCCCCCAAACTCCGCCCATGGTGGAAAGAGAGAGAGAGGGGGGTCAGGAAGGTACCCTCTACCCACTCCCCGTTGAAGGCTCACTCCCTCACCTGCTACATTTTCATCGTCAGTTTTAAAACAAATTCTTCTTCTCATCCTTTTACACCAGATGTGTTTTTTTTCCTCCTTCTCCTCCTCCTCGAAGGTTGATTTGCACCGAGATCTGGATCGTGGTGAACTTAATAACTTAATGACGGCACAAGTTTTGATCGCAGGGAGGGGTTGTGATTGAGAAATATGTCCTGGGTTTGGGTCTCACGTGCAGAGAAGTGGCAAACACAACTGAAAGTTAATTGATTTTAATTAGTTAATTCGTAATTTTTCCCATCTTCAGTTCTCCTCTCCTGAAAAGTTTTTTTTTTAATTATTAGATATTCCGAGATCCGGGGATATGATCAAGACAGGCGGTTTTAATCAACGTTTTTTTTATTTTTTTTGGTAACACGATTGGCGTCCGTCACAGCTGGACCAACGCTCGCAACGATCTTCTCGTTCATGTCCGCGGTGTCTCTCTTCACATCAGAACACTCAATCAACAGCTCTGCGTGTCGCGATCGTGTCGTACCCACCGTGTTCTTTCTACAAACGCACCAATCGTAGATCCCGTACTGCACCGCGCAATGTATGATCGCCCGTTTTTCTCTGATTCTAGATTTGAAGTTTTCGTGACTGCAAGGATCCATACTCTATGGTTCTTTCGGTGAAGTCACGTAGGTAGAAAATAAAAATAAATCACGACGTTTCGGGCGCAACACAAGCGTCCGTCATCAGGACAACACAATGGTTCACAGCTTTAATTTAAACTCTAGGACCATCCTTGCCACTTTCCTCCAGCCCACGTCTGTCTCATCCCATACCCTCAGCTATATAATCCCTCGTCACAGCCATCTCTTTGGCATACTTTAGCGAATGTTTGTCGCTGTGGTTGTCCCCACCTGATGACGAACGCTTGTGTGTGCGCCCGAAACGTCGTGATTTTTATTTTATTTTCACCTACGTGACTTTACCGAAATAAATTTCGATTTAAAGATTTCGTGACTGCAGGGATTCATCTTCTTGGTTCTTTCGGTAAAGTCACGTAGAATGGAAATAATAAAATAATAAAAATAAAACATTATATAAAACATAATATTTTATTATGTTTTATTTGTATTATTTTATTATTTCCATTCTACGTGACTTTACCGAAAGAACCAAGAAGATTTACCGAAATAACCAAAGAGTCTGTTTTTCTCTGCTTTGCTTATCCATCCTCTCCGTTACCACACAGGCGTCTATCTATGCTGCCTCTCTCTCTCTTCATTGCACAATCTCCGAATGGCATGGTCGTTGCGGAATGTTATTAGATATTACTTTCATAGTTTGGGGACATTCAATGCTTTTTCTGAATCTGCGTTGATCCCGTTCGTTCCGTTCGGTGCGCATTCTCTGAAAAATCTGAATAGTTTCTAACAAAAAAATAAGAAAGATATTAAACACGCAAGTGCCTGTTTCATCTCCAGAATGAACAAAAAACGACTAAACATAGTTTTACATCAGCCAAGACCTCACTGTATGTTACTTTATATGGAAATGAAACAACCGCGTGTGTGTGTATATTTACTTAGCAACGGTAATTTATTAATAATGGATAACGATTATAATCCAGCGCTTTGGAGGCAAGGGTCTGATTTGTGAAACTCGAAAACCCAGGGATTTTTTTTTTATCCGTCCGTGCGTTACTTTTTTTTGCGTCATCTCTTTCTGTGCATTGGGTCTTCTCGTTGCTCTCCTCCAACCAGAGGTCGCAACCGGGTACCCGATACCCGTACCCTACCCGATACCCGGCTACCCGTACCCGGTCGGGTACGGGTACGGGTACCCGTTTGCGACCCTGGTGCGGCCGGGTACGGGTACGACGAGTAGACCGTGAGTCACTGGTGAGTCACCGTTTGTCACTCATTTCCCAACGTCTTGTCTCTTCTCACAATTCAAGTTCCTAGAATCAACCCACCCGCGCCTGCAACTTGGCTTCATCCCAGAGGTCGCAATCAGGTACCCGAAACCCGTACCCTACCCGTACCCAGCCGGGTACGGGTACGGCCGGGTACGGGTACCCGTTTGCGACCCTGGTGCGGCCGGGTACGGGTACGGGTAGGCCGTGAGTCACTGGTGAGTAACCGTTTGTCACTCATTTCCCAACGTCTTGTCTCTTCTCTCAATTCAAGTTCCTAGAATCAACCCACCCGCGCCTGCAACATGGCTTCATCCCAGAGGTCGCAATCAGGTACCCGAAACCCGTACCCTACCCGTACCCAGTCGGGTACGGGTAGGGTACGGGTACGGCCGGGTACGGGTACCCGTTTGCGACCCTGGGGCGGCCGGGTACGGGTAAAGAATCAAAACCCGTTAGCGACCTCTTCCTCCAACACGCCACGCGTTGATGAATAGAACTGGCTAAGCGTCACATTGGCGGAGCTGTGCGAGAGCTTCCCTAGATAAACAAAGGACGTTATTTCATTATTATTGTTGTGACATACAGCACCAACATATCCCGTGTCACGTTACCCGCACCCCGATGTAACTGAGAAGAAAAGTGCGCATTAGCCAATCGATGTCTCCGCTGCTTGTTACTCCCTCTGTCCCCCGAGTAAATTCAACGCGTGCGAGATGAACGTTGATCGTGGGCATAGGACGAGAGGGACCAGGGTTCAGCTCACGGACTTCGATATGGGGGAAGGAGTTAGCGGCGTGAGCGGCTTCGAAGCAGGAGGAGGAGGAGGGCGATCCAGGAGCCATAAGGCCAGCACAAGAGAAGGAGCGACCACCCCCGCAGGCGCGCTCACGAGTGAAGGTTGATTTGGAGACGTGGACGAGGCACGGTCGCTGAAACAGCGGACAACATCGTGGAGAAGAAGAAGAAGAAGAGAGAAAGGGCGAATTGATTTGGGATAAGGTGGGTGCAGGAGCGCAAGTCGATGGCAGATGTTGAGAGAGGTAAGGCAATGTGGAAATTGATCACAGGCCGTACTGTGGAGAACGTGGTCTCGCTCCAATTAAGCACGGTTTACGTATGTACGGTGCCAAGTCGAAAATCATTTCAACAAACGTGCAGTACTAGCCAAGAGTCTGCCCATGGCATTCTGCGTTCGGTTTTGGGTTTAGCTTCGAAAGCCACGGGGCTGCAATGCGGATTAAGTGGCTCTAAACACAGACACGGGACATTCATTTAAGCTACACGAAGAAGCAAAACTCACCATCCCCAGTCCGAGTCGAGTCAGAAGAAACCCTGTCAGGTCTGAGGCTATGCATTTAAATTTTGTGATTTTTTTTTGTAATGCCGTCGACTAAAGAAGTCAAACGTCGAGTCTAAACTTTGCTAAATGTTCGTGCGAGAGGCCGTGCAATATTTCCCCACCAGTATTAAGAGGTCAGCCAATCTGTGAACTCGGTAGCTATTTTCCCTACATACACACATATCATGTATTAAGTTACTAGCTGTACTACCCGGCTTCGTCCGGGACTTGGATCCATCACGCCGGGCCGCCTTTGTCTCCCCAGTGGCGATGTTCACACACCACAGCAGTTACTCGTTTTGAGGCTGAGTCGACCATCGATGATTCTTCATCGATTATTCTTCATTGATGATTCTTCATCGATGGTTCTTCATCAATGATTTTTTCATCGATGATTCTTCATCGATGGTTCTTCATCGATGGTTCTTCATCGATGGTTCTTCATTGATGATTCTTCATCGATGGTTCTCCATCGATGATTTTTTCATTGATGATTCTTCATCGATGACTTTTTCATCAATGGTTCTTCATCGATGGTTCTTCATCGATGATTTTTCATCGATGATTCTTCATAGATGTTTTTTCATCGATGATTTTTTATCGATGATCCCTCACCGAATCCCCACTTTGTTTGACAACATATTTTCGTGACTGATCCCGTGAACGGATTTGATTCACACTTGCACGAGCTAACCCCGTGTATCGAAGTCGCCTCGACAATTAAACAAACAAAAACGCCATTGCATTCAAAGTCACCATCGTATCCCGCACCTCCGAGCCGCACGGTTGGCTACGCACGGCGCGCAAAAAGTTCAACAGACGGTGCATACGCAACTACGGCATATCTTGGCATTTATCGTTTGAAATTAATTTGAGAACGGACTAACTGCAATGCGGGCGCAGCGGTCACGAGTCAAGGGAGAGCAAAGTGCCCAGCCCGAGTGAAAACAAAAAAAACACGAAACAAAAATCCACCTGTGACGCTAATCGTCGTGAAATACCGCAAGGGTTTCCAGCAGGGCCCCCTTTGGCATCGATTTGTTGACACGGAGCGCTTGACGCTCATCGCACACAGCCCAGGCAGGTTGATCTGTGGGAGCACAGAATTTGGTGTTGCCGTAGAGATGGTGCGAGTCGCGGCGGGAGGCGGGGGGGGAGGCTGCTGTTGGGGGAGTTCTATGTTGTTTGGTGAGCTGCACATCATTGTGCAGCTGTTTACCGCGGGCAGCTAGCAAGGGCGGCGGTGGCAGCCGCAGCGGTGACAGCGGTGACAGCAGTGGCAGCAGTGGCAGTGGCATCAGCAGCAGTGGCAGCAGCAGCAACAGTGAAGCAGTGGCATCAGCAGCGGTGGCAGCAGCAGCGGTGACAGCAGTGGCTGTGGCAGCAGCAGTGGCATCAGCAGCAGTAGCAGCAGCAGCAGTGCCATAGTGACAGCAGCAACAATGGAGCAGTGGCATCAGCAGCAGCAGCAGTGGCAGCAGCAGCGGTGACAGCAGTGGCAGCAGCAGTGGCAGTAGTGGCAGTGGCAGCAGCAGTGGCATCGGCAGCAGTGGCATCAGCACCAGTAGCAGTAGTGGCAGCAGCAGTGGCAGCAGCAGTGGCAGTGGCAGCAGCAGTGGCAGCAGCAGCGGTGACAGCAGTGGCAGCAGCAGTGGCAGTAGTGGCAGTGGCAGCAGCAGTGGCATCGGCAGCAGTGGCATCAGCAGCAGTAGCAGTAGTGGCAGCAGCAGTGGCAGCAGCAGTGGCAGCAGCAGCGGTGACAGCAGTGGCAGCAGCAGTGGCAGTAGTGGCAGTGGCAGCAGCAGTGGCATCGGCAGCAGTAGCAGTAGTGGCAGCAGCAGTAGCAGTAGTGGCAGCAGCAGTGGCAGTGGCAGCAGCAGTGGCAGCAGCAGTGGCAGCAGCAGTGGCATCAGCAGCAGCAGCGGCTCCATGCGTGGTGGTGACTTCAAGGTGCATGGGGTGAGAAGACGTTCTCAATGGTCGTTGCCGTTTGCCAACGAATTTTTCGGGTGAGATCGCGTGACAAACTCTTCGGTATTCGTGTTGCTTTTATTTTTCACTTATAATCGTTATCCTCACAAGGGGAATTAACGGTACATTGTAAAGTACGGGTGATGTTTCCAGACTTGAATAGAGCAAAGGCACCGTAATGTGTGTGTATGTGTTATGTTTCTATATGTTATCTGGATATGTTATGTGCTGCTCATTAGCGGTAGTGTAACGGTCAGCGCGCTCTGCTACGAATCTGGTGACCCGGGTTTGATTCCCGCTCGCGGCCACCAACACCAGTGACGATTATTTGAACCGGTCCTGGGCCTCCCCTAGGTCGACTCGGCCTCAAACGAGTACCTGGTGCGGTGTGTAAACATCGCCACTGAGGAGACGAAAGCGGCCGGGCGTGGTGTTGGCCACCCACCCCCTCGTGTACTGTGCCGGCCTTCATAGGTGCTCGCTAACAGCACTTGCCCCTCCAGTTTGTTAAGTCTATACGGGGGATCTTTGTCGTTGTCTTTGTGCTGCCCATCAGATGTCACGTGAAGAACCACTTCTGAGTGCCTCCTTGAGTTTGGCCATTTCAACATCATACTTTGTTAGAATGTCCGTACATTTGTTTTACTGTTGTACAGAGCAGTTCTCTGTACTCCACGGTGACAAAACGCTGTGTGTCGTGGTGTCATGGCGTGGACATGACTTGCAATCCATTATCCAATCTCGAGTTCACCGGTTCAATCTCCCGGTGTAGCCATTTGTAAACAACTATCTCTGTCCCCCCCCCCCCCACCGTGACTCTCCACCAATTCAGCAGTGCCACAGCACAGAAACGTTGAGTGGCAAGGTCACGGCTAAGTTGACCAATTTTTACATGACACGCTTTTGATTAACTCATTCTGTCTGTCGTATCCTCAAATCTTGTAACTCAATTTTAACCCACTTCCCAATGTGGTATCGACTGCAAACTTGGTATACTTGTGTCATACTGATGACAATACTATATTCTGTCATTTTAAAAAAAAACCTTATTTTTTAGATGTTATGTTTCCGCTTGGGTCTAATTGTCCACGGTCAACTGACGTTGGCTTTAATTGCCCACGGTCCCTTACGTTGTGGCAAGCTTCGGGGCCACTTCCTGGAGTCGTGGAGTTCTGCCATTACAAGTCCATTTCATAAAAGCGTGTTTTAAAATAAGTTTTTACAAATATTACTTATTTTTGTTCTACCCGCTAAAGACAGGGCCTCTTCTCTAGAGCTCCCTCCAGTGGTGACCCCTCCCGACAGCAGTGGCGTGAGCCAGAAATTGCAGGGCTGCGCCTTTACTTGGTGGCAGGGGGGTGGTGGCCTTTTGTTAACCAATTGAGCCACAATTTGTTTTGCTGTGATGGGTGGTGGAGGGTTCCTAATGACACAGATTTAGTCAGAGAATTACAGGGCCCGAGCTAAACATCAAATGATGAACTCAAAACATATTTTGAACCAGAATACTGTATAAAATTATCTTCCTGCGGGAGAATATTAAAAACAATTGAGTCTTGCATCAAAATTTTTCGTCCTGAATTGCAAAAGTTTATCAAACCGCAGTGATGTGTATGCAGTATGGAAATAGGCTGCTACAGTATTCCATTAATCCGAGTCAAACCAGCACGTGGTAAGTTAAATAGCAAAATAATAAATAGCTTACAGCCCTTGTGTCAACCCACCGCTGGATGAAGGCCTCCCTCATGCCATGTCTGATTGGTTAACCACGATTTAAAGCTTTCGTGACTGCAGGGATTCATCTTCTTGGTTCTTTCGGTAAAGTCACGTAGAAGGGAAGTAATAAAATAATAAAAATAAAACATAATAAAATAATTCTCACGACGTTTCGGCCACAACGCAAGCAGCCGTCCTCAGGTGAAGAACAGGTCTGTCGATAAGACAGAGTCTGAATGACACGTCCTGGGCTTGGAGCGTCTATTTAAGCTGGGAGGGAGGAGGAAGAGCGCCTTGACAAAATAAAATTGCATATGAAGAGGAATTTAGCATATTTATGGGAAATTCAGCAATGCGAATAGTGCTAATTGTGAAATGCGTGGGAGGTGGGCGGGGGGGTTTTCAAAGTCATATTATGTCCATGCATTATTCAGGATTAGCAGCATCAAAGGGAGGGGGTAGGGGTAGCAGCTACTATTAACATTTCTTCCCTTTATTAATGCGTTGTGGCCGAAACGTCGTGAGAATTATTTTATTATGTTTTATTTTTATTATTTTATTACTTCCCTTCTACGTGACTTTACCGAAAGAACCAAGAAGATGGTTAACCATGCTTCACCACGCCGGTTCCTTGCAATTGGGCCCAGGACCGGTTCAGATGTCACCTCGCCGCTGATGATAGCCATGGCTGGGAATCTAACTCGCGTCGCCAGGCTCGTAGAGCAGTGCGCTAACTCACCTCCGTGCGATTGCTCCAACCGCACACGCTACAAGTCGTAGCCATCTAGCCGCGCACTGTACAGTACTCTTTACATAGTCAGGATTTGCAGTGCTTTAGGTACACCCTGACACTGGACGTGAGTATTGTAAACTGTGGTTTTAAAAATGCGTAAATCAATGTCCTGTGTGAAAACTTGCAGAGACACAGAAGTTCAACACGTGGGCCTCAGACTATACAATGCAATACCTCTGT